TATAACAGTTAATCGCTGGCAACGTACTGCTAATTATCTGTGTAAATATGATGGTTCCTTCCTTGTAATTATTCGCTCGCAACGTACTGCTAATGCTGTAAATATCTAGATTCCCTCCTTTTTAACAGTTAATAGCTGGCAAAATACTGCTGCATAATTTTGTCTATACCAAGTTACATGTTAAAAGGACCTCCGTAAATGACGCTGTCTATTTTAAATGAGAGCTTTGATTACTTATGTATTGCTAAATAACCTCATACGTTTAAAGAATTTAAACTACAATTAAATTGATCATCTAAATGAAGGCTCCGCCGGCATGGTAGTGCCTTCCGATCATTGTCGGAAAACAAGTTCAAATCACTAGCACCCCCTTCCTATGATACATAGAACCTAACACGGGGCTTACATGAGAATGCTGAGTTCTTTTGCTCGACTCGACACGAAATAACGTGATAATCGCGACGCGAACAGGGATTACGGGATTACTTTGGCCGAGCACAATATGGCGGGCGATCGTTCCAGTGCCGAACGAGGCGGCTCTTGTTGTTCTTGACCAGACTAAACAACAACAAGGTACTACAAACAATAACTAAGAAGAGAAGGGGGTACCAACAACAAAAGGGCTTGTTTTTGACATTTTTTTCCGTTTCACATTATTTATTCTTTACTTTGATGTCTTGTGTGTTTGATAAAGGTTCTCAATCATATCAGATCAGTGTCACATACACAGCAAGATTTATGAGCAGTTTCTGCGTGACATTGCTGAATTTCTCACTTTCACTCTACACAAAGCGAATCAAAGCTCAACCTTTTATGAGTATATTTACTAGTAATATTGGTTAAGAAAACATGGGGAGCAAAGGACCTTCTCAATGTAAGGAGTTTAGAGAGCACAGTAGTGCGCTTTCGAACCAACTGCATGTTGTATGATCAACAGTACATCCATCGGTTTTCAGAATTGTAATATTCATGTGAATACTCGACAATATATGGGAGATACTCTTTATTGTATGCTGCTGAATACAAGTGAACAATACAACACTTCTCTTCACACGTTAACTCTTATCAAGAATCTGCTTCCTATCACTGTGCGTTCTGTTGCTGGCTGCCTTACACCTGAAACTA